TCACCTCTGCATACTGGCTGTCCCAGTCAGAGGCATTTGGCTGCAGACCTGTGTGTCTAGGCAGGAGCTGGCCGTGTCTGTCTTGCCTGCTGCTTTTCCTTCATCTCACACTGAGTTTGGTGGAGCACTGACCTAGAGTTCACTTTGTGGCCATCTATAGGGATGAGCGATTAGGATTGGTTTGGGTTCTGGCCTGTGGTTTGGCTGCACTCTGGGGTGGCTTGTGGCTGGGCAGAGCCAGCATCTAGCTCTGCTGATGGCTCTGGAGAAGTAACCTCGTAGAAAAGGGATGTTGTGAAGCATCAGTCTTTTGCAGTGAGTTTGCCTGGGCAGGGTGAAGGGATTGCCACAAGGCCACTGTTGATGTGACCTGGTTCTTCCTCTGTGTGTTACAGACACAGTTTTCTCACGTGTCGAGGAGGAGCACCTCTGGGAGTGCAAGCAGCTGGGCGTTTACTCACCCTTCGTGCTCCTCAACACCCTCATGTTCTTCAACACCAAGTTCTTTGGGCTGCAGACAGCGGATGAGCACATGCAGCTCTCCTTCACCAACGTGGTGCGCCAGTCCCGCAAGTGCACCACGGCCCGTGGCATGACAAAGGTGGTGAGCATCCGCTACTACGCTCCTGCCAAGCAGAAGAAAAGCCGAGGTAGGGTCTGATGGAGCATCTCTCTGTCCCTCCCCCTGCCTCCCTCATCGGGTCCCAGCCATGATCCTGTTCTCTCCCCCTCTGCAGATGGTGGCTCTGGAAAGCGGAAGCGTGAGGAGGAGGTACCGATGCTGGAGCAGCGGGAGAACAGGATGAACCCACTCCGATGCCCAGTCAAGTTCTATGAGTTTTATCTCTCCAAATGGTGAGGCTTTCTTTGGAGAAAGGGCATGTGCCATTTTGGGGCCACCTCTTGGTTTTGGTGGGACCCTGTGGAGTGGCTGCTGCTCTCCAAACATTTGTACTTGAATGTAAAGCCTTGCCCAGGGTCTGTGCTGTTTGTATAGACCATAGCTGAGAGAATGCTTCTCTGCAGCCCCTTCCACTACTTGGCTCTCTCCAGACAGGCAGGAGCATGCAGTATGAGTCGTGGTGGTTGGCTGATTAGGGGCTTTGGTCCTGAGTGAGGAGCTGCAGACTCAGTTTGCGTCCTTGTCCTGCCGAATGATGAGAGGCTGTAACAAGCCTTGAGCCCCCCTTGATAACCATGAGTGCAGGCCAGGCTTTCTGAGCCCCTGGAGCTGATATCCCAGGGTTCACCTTCCTCTCTCTTTACAGTCCAGAGAGTCTGCGGAACCGCAACGATGTATTCTACTTGCAGCCTGAACGGTCCTGCATCGCCGAGTCCCCACTCTGGTACTCGGTCATCCCCATGGACCGGAGCATGCTGGAGAGCATGCTGAACCGCATCCTGGCCGTGAGGGAGATCTACGAAGAGCACAGTCGGCTTAGCAGCCTGGACGACGACATGGACTAAGAGCGAGGTGCTGCCGGGCTGGCTGTGCTCCAGCCCAGGACACCTCGTCTCCCTGCCTCCTGCTGCAGGGCTGGGGCCATGCAGCATGGGAGGGGATAGTGCTGTGGCAGCACTGTCTATTGTTACCGGACTTGGACATCACATCCTGCTCATTACGGGCCTCTCCTACGTACATGGCCCCCGCGCTCAGCCCTGCCTCCTGTCCTGGCTGCTGGGTGAGCCGTCTTCCCTGGGGCCAGTCCCCACAGCACAGGGGTGGCAGAGCCCCCAAGGCAGCTCCCCTTGCCCAGCCCTGTCCCCTGCTATTCCCAGCCCTGACTCTACTGCCCCCCCCTCCCCCTACCCCAGTGCAGGAACTGCACCATTCGGCAGAGTGCTGTCTGGGACCAGCAGCCCCGAGGCTTTTAATTCCCCCTTCCTTTAGCATCCCCTCACAAGGCTGTGGGTGGCATGGCAGGAACGGTAGCTCTGCTGCTGCAGCAGCATGGTGTTTTCAAGCCAGTGGGGAAGGACCATCAGCAGCCTGAGAGCTGTTGGGGTCAGGGGGAGGGATTGTTCGCAGGGGTGGGAGAGGTTTGGGCTGGCTTTGGGGAGCAGAGGAAGCTGGTGCTGGAATGTGAGGGCAGAGACGCAGCCTTGCCACGGGGATGCCTCCCTCGAATGCAGCCGGGCTGCCTCCCTCAATTTTGTCAATGTTTCCTGAGTCTGTGGAAAACTGATGGAGACAGGTCTGTGCCAGTGCTGCCCTTCTGTCCCCGCTGTCCTGCATCCTAGCGTAATACCCCTCCTCAGTGCAAGGTGCCATCAGTGGGTCCCTCCACTCTGGCCGGGGGCTTGGGCAGCTGCTGGCAGAAGTGAGGACCTCTGCCTGGCCTCCCCCTCCCTCCCAAAGCAGTGGGGTGCTGGCGCCCTGCCCAGGGCGAGCCTGGCTCTGGCTGCGCCACTCCCTGCTGCCTCCTGCCCCTCCTTGTGTTCTGGTCAGTTTTCTTGAGCTGTACATGGGTCTCCTATTGAGCCTGTATATATTGTTCTGGGCCCTGGCCCCGGGCCATCTGTTCTCTGTGTCCATGTGGAGAGTGAGCCACTCACCAGTCTTGTTGTAGTGATGCCAGGGCGGTAGGACTAACCCTGTGTCTCTGGAAACCATTCATTTCAAATAAAGATGCAGAAGACTTTTGGCAGCTCCTGCTTTTCTCCCGCAGGCAGGGTGGGCACTGCAGGAGAGCAGGGCCAGCATCCCACTGCTGCTGTGCACCTCGCTCCTGTCCATCCCTGCCTGCTTGTGCTTCCTACCGTGTCTGGCCCCTAGTGTGCTGCCAGCTCTGGCATGCTATGATGGCCCCTGACCCTGTGCCTGCTGGTGCTAGCCTGGCATGCCCTGCCTGTTCCTGCCCTGCTTCTCCTTGCCTGTCCCTTGCCAGTAGGGCTGCCACCCAAGCCAACCCAGCAGTGGCCCTGCCCTGGCCAGGTGGGACAGACGGGTCAGAGAGCAATGCCGCGGTGCCCATGGGCAGAGCAGGAGTCAAGTGAGGTGCAATGGGTGTTTATTTGCTCCCCCAGGGCTGACAGGACCCTGCCCCAGCCCAGCCCTACTCTCAGCCCCACTACTCCCAGGAGCGCGGGGAGCGGCCAGGCCACGTCCCTGGGGCCATGCCTATCTCTTGTGCTGGCCACAGGGTCCATGCCACAAGCCTGTCAGGGCCCAGAGACAGAACCACAACTGTGGCCACCCATGCATCATCCATCCCTGAGCATCCCAGCAGGCCACGTTCACACTGCCAGGTCTGCAGCTCGCGCCTTCCCGTGGGACCCACTGGCGCCCCCCAGCCATGTACCCGCCTTCCCCAGGGGTGCCAGGCCATGAGGTGCTCTGCCAGCAGCCACAGGGCTGCCACTGCTGGGCAGGGTGACGCGGGTCCTGTGGGTCCCCAGAGGGCCACCAGGACTGGGCAGGATGTGGGACTTGGGGCCTGGCCCCTGCCAGCACTTGGTGAGACCCAGGTGATAGATCTCCACCAGGTTGAGCAGCAGGGACACACAGGCCACCCCTAGCATGAAGAGGATGAAGATGGTCTTCTCAGTGGGCCGGGAGATGTAGCAGTTCACGGTGTTGGGGCAGGGCCAGCGGCTGCAGGTGTAGAGGGGCTTCAGCTGGAACCCATACAAGGCGTACTGGCCCACAATGAAGCCCACTTCCAAAAGAGCCTTGAAGACGACGTTGCAGATGTACGTCCTCAGGATGGCCCCGCGCATGCAGACCTGTCCCCGCGTGTCCCCCACAGGGAGCTGGGGCTGCCTGGGGCGCTGCCGCCTGGCCCCACTGCCAGCCCGTGCTGCTGCTTGCTGCTGTGCCTTCTCCTCCAGATGCACCAGGTGCAGGATGTGGCCTAGGTACACAAGGCTGGGGGTAGAGACAAAGATGATCTGCAGGACCCAGAAGCGGAGGTGGGAGATGGGGAAGGTGCTGTCATAGCAGGCATTCTGGCAGCCAGGCTGCTGCGTGTCGCAGGAGAAGCCAGACAGCTCGTCGCCCCAGACCCGCTCAGCAGCCGCCCCCAGCACCAGGATGCGGAAGACAAAGAGGACAGTGAGCCAGACCTTCCCCACCACGGTGGAGTGCTCCTGGGCGCTCTCCAGCAGCCGCCCCAGCAGGCTCCAGTCCCCCATGGCACGCGTCACAGTGCCCTGCAAGACAGCCACCCTCCAGACACGACCACCCCACAACCTGCTGAACCACCACCCCATCCCCCCGCCCAGCGGGTGTGCAGGGACCCAACCTGGGGCTGTCCCTGGAGTGTCCCCACCCTGCGTCCCATGGGACCCCCTAACCTGTCGCAGGGAAGGCACCAGGAACAAAGACCTCTGGTAGAAAGCAGCCTTGGCATGCTGGGAGCAACCATGGGGGACAGCGCAGTGGCAATCCGGCATGGGGACCCCTCACCGTTGGCGGGTGCGTAGGGCAGAGCCCGGTGTTCCTGCGCTGTTGGCTCCCCTCAGCAGGGTGATGCAGGATGCTGCAGGGCCCCTTCCCGGCTGGTCCCCTGCTCCTCAGCCAGGTGTGGACAGGCCTGCCTGGCTCTGTCTGTCCATCCACCTGACAGCAGGCAAGGGATTATTGGGGCATGAGGCAGCTGCATGCCCCATTGGCTTTCACTGTGACTGGCAGATGAAACAGCCACTGGGGAAATTTTTTCCCTCTATTTTTGGTCTGGACACTTTTCTAAATATATGCAGGGCTGCAGGGGCTGGTGCTGGGGGAGCGTGAGCCCTTGTACACTGCTCAATGCCACCCAGGGGTCACTGCTTCTGCATGCCGGCTGCGAGGGCACCACAGCCATGGCCCCAGCCCAGCCCGGGCACTACAGCCCCCGCAACCCCTGGTGGCATCCACCTGGGCTAGGGTGCACGGGTGGGCACCCCACACTGGCACCCCAAGCCCCTGGCACATCCCAGCTGGAGTAGAAAGGAGGGAGGCAGTGCCTGAGAACAGAGATTTAATGGCCCAAGATGCCCTCCTGGCTGTCCCATGGGACAGGGACAGCACAGGGCCATGGGGTGGCTGTGGGGTGGGGGCAAGGGCTGGGGCCCCCATGGCGCTGGCCTTAGCAGGCAGAGCAGCGGTCGCCCTTCTCCTGCAGCCCGGGGTTGCGGCGCAGCATGTCCTTGAGGGAGCCATCCTGCTCTGTCAGCAGCTGGTTGATCTCATTCTGCTTGTACTCAGAGGAGAGCTTGTGCCCATAGAAGGAGCCCTTCCCTGATGAGGGGTTGGAGTTGTGCTGGCCTCGGCGGGCACAGGCTCGCACCACCAGGTAGACCAGCTCCGCCATGTTGAGGACTATGCAGATGCTGGAGGTGACCAGCATGAAAACGGTGAAGATGGTCTTCTCGGTGGGCCGGGAGATGAAGCAGTCAACAGTGTTGGGGCAGGGGTAGGCCTCACACTTGACCAGCCGCACCATCTGGTAGCCCGGGTAGAGCATGTAGAAGATGTACATGAACACAGCCTCGAAGAGCAGCCTGAAGACCACACTGCAGACATATGTCCACCACAGTGAACCTGATATGCGCATCTTGTGCTTCTTCACCTCCTCCATGTGCTTGGGGTCTGCATGCCCCGTCAGCACCAGCAACTTCTTCTCCTGGTGCTGTTGGTAGGCCACGTGCATGGCCACGAGGAGGGCCGGCGTGGTGACAAGGATGAGCTGCAGGGCCCACAGACGGATGTGGGAGATGGGGAAGAAGTGGTCATAGCAGACACTGTTGCAGCCAGGCTGCTGGGTGTTGCAGGTGAAGGCGGATTTCTCATCCCCCCAGACGCTCTCAGCTGCCACCACCAGCACCATTATCCGGAATATGAAGATGACAGAGAGCCAGATGCGCCCAATGGCAGTGGAGTGGCGGTTCACTCCACTCAGCACCGTGTAGAGGCCGGCCCAGTTCATTGCTCCTCACGTCTGCAGGAGCAAGCAGCAAGAGACAGTGTTAGGAGCAGGACAGTGTTAGGAGCAGGAAGGACCCCTGGCTGAGAGCCACCACATCCCGGCCCTGGTGGCAGCAGCCTCAGGAGGGACCTGGGAGCAACTGGCTGCCGCAGTCCTGGTAGGTGGACAGCAGGATGGATGGATGGCAGGACAGCACCATGGCTCCCACTGCTTTCACAGCTCAGGGCAGCGTTTTGGCCAGAGCAGGTAGGAGACTGATTGGCCCTGCAGTGTCAGCTACTCCTGCTCTGCCACCCCACACTGGCACAGGGATCCTAACCCACGGCTGCTGCAGAGGATGGGGGGGAAGCTCCCACACCTCCACAGGGACCCCCTATCTTCACCCAGCGCTGAGCTCCTTGGCTAGGGATGGACCCAAGGAGCTCCATGTCTTCTCTGCACCAGCACCTCCCTGACCAGTCCCTTATTGCCCCATTCCCTGCAGGAGTGGGGCTGGGGAGCCCCGAGCTGGGAGGAGCCCTGGTACAGCCACGCATTGCCACCCTCCTAGAGCCGTCCCTGCCTGGGGAGCATGGGGTGACCCTGCACCCCAAGCACAGACCCCTGCCCCACTGGCACTGAGCAGCCCCAGGAGCTGCTTCCCACCCCAAGCACAAGGCTTGTGGGCTGGGACCTGCCCTCCAGCTGCCCCTGGTGTGGAGGGTCCCGGCGGCGCGTACCTGCCGGTGAGGAAGGGTCCTTGCGAGCTGTCCCCAGTGGCCCCTCTAAGGTCTCATATCTCTCACAGGAGAGCTCTGCTCCGCCTGCCCTCGTCTCTATCCGCCACTGCCCTGCACTGGAAGTCATATGCTGCTTTATAAACTATTTACATACAATGGGGCCTTTATCGGCCCCTGAACAACACACTTTAGCATTCAGATCCAACGCCCTGACTTCCGCCCACCCCAACCAAACAAAGTGCCTGTGTGCTGCATTCCCACTGCCTGGCCCTGCACCCACTCCCACTTCGCCCCGCGCCAACCACGGCTGTGGGCCCCCCCCCGACCGCCAGCCACGGGGTGCTCGTCACTCTGCCTGGTGGGACCACGCCACGGGCATTGCTGGACTGAACAGCCACCTGGGGTGCCTGGGGGTCCCTTCCCCAGGATGCATGGCAGAGCCCAGCTGTGTGCCAGTCCCACACAGATGGCACCAGAGCTGGGGCCTGGCTGCTCCCCAGTGTGGCACTGAGCAGTCTGTGGGGACCTGCGGGGCTGGGTGTGCTGGGTACAGCCCCCATGGGTGCCACCATACCCTTGAGGCTCTGCTGCCAGGGGGTTGGTGCCAGCAGCAACGGCTGCGAGGTCGTTGGAGCTGCCCTGCATGTGCCCTGTCCTGTTAGGGACATGGGAGTCACCAGGCTGATGCTGGCTGTGTGCTAATGGGGGCTGCGTTCAGTGCTGAGAACATGTGCTGCAGGAGCTCTGCTCCTCTCCCAGGACAGGGGGCTACTGACGCTGCCCCACTGCTCGGACACACTGGTAAGTGCAACAGCCCCTGTACCTGTGGACCCCCTGTGCCCATGTCCCTCAGGGCTGGTGTCCCAAGCCACACCATCACGCTGTGCACCATCCATGTGGGGATGGTGCCACTCCCCAGCCTCAGGTGGGGAGCAGCACATCCTGTAAAACCTACCAGCTGGGAGCCTGCAGGGTGGGGAGGCAACAATGCTATCCCAAATGCCAACTCCACCCCTCAGCCTAGGGTGCCAGCACCTGGAGCTGCGCAAATGGTAGTGGGCAAAGACCCTCCAATGAAGCTGCGGGGAGGGCAGCTGGTGCCTAGGCCACACTCTGCTCCTTGACCCACTCCCCCCATGGTGGCCAGCACCCCTAGCTCCCTGCCCTCCCTGGCCCATGGAGGAGCCCTTCTGCAGCCCCCACCCCGGACCCCCCAGTCCCCCCCCCGGCTGGGGGACGTGTGGCAACCCCCACAGTGGTGCTGTGCTCACCAGGCTCTCACCTCAGCAGCGGGACAGGCAAAGCTCTCAGGGAGCGCAGCAGCCTCAGCCTCCAGCACAGCACCCTGGACTTTATACTGCCCTCTGGCACGTCACCCCCATCCCCTCCCAAACAGCCTTGCTCCTTCCAGGACTTGCTCCCTGCCAAGTAAATACCACAGGTGTGTCCAGCCTGCGCTCACACTGCCAAGGCACCCACCACCACTGCCAAGCATCCCCTGGGGACAGCCCAGGGGCCACCACTGCACTAAGGCAGGGCCAGCCCCCCAGGATGGTCCCCGTGGGAGCTCTGTGGTCCCCCTGGCCACGCTCCCCTGCTGTGAGCATCCTCCCCACCACATCCCCTGCAAGCTGGGCACATGCACCATGGCAGAGCCCCACTCTCCATCCGGGGGGGACAGCTCTGGGCAGTCCCAGCACCCAGAGCACCTTGATCCGCTGCTGCAGGCTGCCGGCTGGGCCCTGGGGAGCCACCAACACCCTGTCTAAAAGTGCAGCCAGAAAATGCAAACAGCCTGTCAACGATTAACCCAGCTAACGGCCCCACTCCAAGGTCCCGCCGCCCAGCACCCCGCATGGCTCCGCAGTGTGCTGGGACATGGCGACCCTGCCCCACATTTGGGGGCCCCAGGGTGGGCTGCAGGACCCTGCACACCATCCCCTGCATGAGGATGGCAGTGGTCCCACTGTCCCCCGCATGAGGATGGCAGGGTGGCACTGTGGGGTGACAGGGGTTCTCCCCGCAGTGTGGCGGGGGCGGTGGGCAGAGAGGGGCCGGGGATCGCCGGGGGTGCGGAGCGGGTGAGGCCCACGATAAGCTGCCGGCTGAGTCAGCAGGGCCCGGCGGGGAGCGGCCGCA